GCAGGTCTGATCTTATTCATCTTTTTGTTCTAACTCTTTGCCCTCTGGTTTTGTTTCTCTCAGGTGAACTGAGTCTGGTCCCTCAGGTTAGTTAATTAAAGGTTACAGCAAAGCTTTTGGGGGAGCGCACAGGCAATGCTTGAATGGCTTAAGGTTTATTCAAAGGTAACTGAAACAAAAACAAACAGAATCAGCCGTCAAATCAGACGAGAAGAGAAAAATTTGTGATTTTCCCCTAAAAGTTACACATTTATTACACACGCAGCATAATTTCGCCTAAACAGATCAATCCAGAGCATCCACATGATTAATGTCCATGCCTCCTCCCACCAGAGGACTGCACAAACAGGAAGCTAATGAATATTCTGAATAGATTGCCGGGAATAAAATATAAATACATTTACCTACATTGACTGGCCCAATAAAACAATAGATATACCTGCCACCACACAGCTGAAGCTGTAATAAAACCTCTCCTGCAGCCACACAACTGGCTGTTGATTGGCTCTCTGGATGCAGAGGTGGGCCAACTGCCAAGAATCGCACTACATAATTCTTCTACTTCCACTCGTGGTTATCTGAGCGCCACGTGTCTCTCATATATTCTCACAGGTTATATAAAAAGACAAGAAATAAAGCAGAACTACATTACCCAGAATCACACGTGACAAAGTGTTAGTGTTCAGGACATCACTGCTGCTGACATCACACACACTGAGCCATTAGAAAAAATCACTGATGTATAAATCAAACATGGAACAAACTCTGCTGACACGCATCCTGCCCGAGTTCACCAGCAGCAAGTTCGTGCTTGTAATTTAGGAATCAACAGACACACCCAGAATTAGGAGGAAAGTCACTGTGGTACGAGAGTTCAAGCCTCTGGAGGAAGCATCCTCAGTAACACCAACACACACAACACAGTGAACCTGTCGGCTCACAGCTTGGGCACAGTCTGCCCCCTCGTGGACAAATTAAACACTACAGCTGCATCTTTGGATATTATGGCTAAAAAATGACTGCGTTGCACCGATTAACCTGCAGTCATTCCAGCCTTTGAATTGTTTTGTTTCAATTTCAAGCATTTTGCATGTTCTGCAGAACAATGCATAAACATGAAGGCATTATTAGTTTCATTGTTGGTTCAGTTATACTGTGTGGTATTTGTCTGATAGATATCCCAGTGTCAGTAAACATGCACCAAAGCTCAGGCTTATTTTCTTTAGTTTTGTAAGTGGCCATTAAAATCTCTGTTTTTATTTCGGTTTTGTTTGCACACCTAGTTCAGCTCACTCAATTCTCTGTCATAATCCCGCTGGCCTGTCACAGAGGCAGAATATCACACAGTGCATGTCCATGAACACGGTTCTGAATGTCTCGATCTTCTTATTCTAACCCTGAGTGCATGAAAGAGAGGGATGACGAGACACTGATCCTGTCTGTTTAAAAATAATGCCAAAGCACGTATCTGGTTCCTCTTACATGTTTTCCAGTAAACTGAGAGCTAATTTATCACTGCATTTATCAGGCACAGCTCCACAAATGTACGAGCACATTTCACTGTAGCTAAAAACACACTGAGGTGTACAGAGCAGAGCAAACAC